GAATCTTTTGCAATGTTACATTCTTAGATGTTCATTCATTCATTCATTTTCTACCACTTAATCCCTGAGCGGGGTCACGGGGGGGTATGGGCAATTTAGAGACACCAATCAACCTAAGCTGCATGTCTTTGGACTGTGGGAGGAAGCCGGAGTACCCAGAGAGAACCCACGCAAGCACTGCGCCACCGTGCTGCCTCATTCTTAGATGTGACAGAGGATATTAATTAAAAGACTACAACTTTTTTATTTTCATGGTATTTTGAAGGGAACCATCATATATACACTTTTTAGCACAGGACAAATTTAGCATCAAACAATCATGTCATCATGACTTACATGTTGCTGAGAAGTCACTGAAATGTGAACTTAAATCCTGAGATTTCTCATTGACTACCCAGTTTGGTTTTAAGCTTTCCTCATCGGAATAACTCCACAATCACTCACACAAAAATGTAACTGCCGTGAATGGACTGATAATCAGGACTGGGGGCGCTGGTGTACCGAGAAATTCCAGGGGAGTGTAATCACAGCCAGACTGGCGTTGAAAAGCCATATCTGTGGCTTAGAGTGGCACTGGAGTCCCAGAAGGCCTTGTGCATGGCTGAAAATGGGGTTGTGCTTTCCTTATAAACCAGTGGGTCTCAAATTTTTCAGCCAGAAATAAGTTCAAGTGTTTTGTACCCACACACTTGTAAAGCAATAACATAAAAAGAGATTAGCAAATAACTAAAAAACACATAATAATACTCTAAAAAATGTTTCAATGAGCATGTAGATTACAAAACTAGTTGTAACCTGATTACATAAAGCTGCAATTAACCCCATACCATTTTTATAACATTAACACAAGTAAGTTAGAATTGTGCACAAGATGGGGTATAGGGATCACACAAATGTAGTTTTCATACAGTCTAAATTGTTAAAATTTTTTGATTTAGTGGAATATAAGACCGTGGTGTTTATGTATAAAGCCAGGAACGACTTATTACCTGGTGGAATCCAAAAGTTATTTGATGAAAGGGAAGGAGGATATAATTTAAGGGGTCAGTTAAATCTAAAAGTTCATGCTATACGTACAACCAAAAAAAGATTTTGCATTTCTATAAGTGGGGTCAAATTATGGAATAATTTAAGTGTGCTCTGTTTTAAATTTTCTGTATATTACTTGTCTGGTGAAGAAGAGAATTACCTATGTAGAGATACTGCTTGCAGCCAATGATGCATGAAATTTTTTGTATAAGATGATGTTATGGGGTAGGACTGGATAAGTCTGACTTCTTCCTACTCCATTCAAACATGTACTAGGTATAAGCAAACTGATTCTGGATTAGCATTGGTTGGATTTGTGTAATTATGTGTGTGTTGATGTCATTGTTCTGCATGTTTGAAAGAATAAATCAAATCAAATCAAATCAAATCAAGATCCTTTCAGGATCTTACAGTTCCCACAAACCAGTTTCTATCTGCTGATCAGGACTTTTATATAAATACAAGTGCTCCAGAACCTGCAAATAAGTGGACCTTGGTTTGAGATTTATTTATTTATTTATTTACTTGCCACCTGCTATTTCCAGGCTGATGCTGATGTTTAGCAGGTATAACGTTTTTAGGAGTTTAGGATGTTAGCATGCTAACACTTGCTAATAGCAGTGAAGCTGAGGCTGATGGGAACATTATGAATTCTGAAAGTATTTAGTCATGAACCAGAATTGTAAGTACTGGACACATTCACAGTTTTGATGCCAGAACCAGACAGATAACTAAAAGATCACCAATGTTATTACGATTCATCATGAGGGGGGCATGGCCTGAACCAAAGGACAAGTGAAAACTTTGACCTGTCGGTGGTGCCACAGGAAAAGTCAGAGGCCTTTAGGATTCATCCTTTGGGAGCCACAGATATCTGTAGCATTCCTAGCATACCTGTGTCATTTTATAACTGCCAAAAAACACATCCTGACTTCACTCAGTTTTCTATGTGCAGGTTTAAATGAATGTTCATCAGTGCAAACTCTCATCCATTTGCATTGCTGCTTCCTGTATTTCAACACAGCAGCTATTGAACTGGCACAAAGCAGACTACACCAGATACAGTCAGAAGGTGTGGATGTACGGTCTCTGTCATCCTGATGGCACTGCCTCCGTAGACTTTGATGCACTGCCAAGAAACATTTCTCACACTGATACTCAGATGGCTGGAGAACAGAGAGAGACACAATCACTCAGTGTGATATAGCTAAAATGATACTCACACACAAAAGTTGTGCTACTTTTTATATCTTAGCACTTTGTCATTCTGCATCTTTAATACCTCATCTTTTTATAATCTTTTGGAAGATTTTTGTCAAAGTGGGAGCAGTGTAATAAGTATCTGAGGTGACTAACCAGTGGCTGGGGGTTAGTCACAGAGCGGACCTCTTTCACATGCAAACTTCTCAGTGTTCCCTTTGGTCCCCAGAGGTGATGAGTAGCTCCAGTGTCGACACAATGGCAGCACTGCAGGCCATTCAAGTTCAAGGCAGATTACAGAGCTTTTAAAATTCCCTGGTTTGATCCTCTACCATACTTCATTATCCCAAATTTGAAGCCACACAATTACCCAGCTGCTGGCGGGGCCCTCTCTGAGAAGGAAGACAAAAAAAGACTGATAATTTGGGGCTTCATAAATCATAAGTTCAGTATCTGAGCACAACGAAGCTTTAAACAAACCAGCCAAGGCTGTTTTGCTATGATAACATTGTTGTGTAACGTCTTCATTTCACTCCCTGCTGTTGCCCTGTAATAATGTTACAACATAATAAAGTGGTAATATGAGTACTGAAGTGACCCCACCAAAACAAACACAACAATACAGTGTTGGCATCGTATGAATACTGAGTCTTTTCAAGGGATAGATCAGTTACAATCATAGAGGGAAAGGCAAAGGGGAAAGCAATGAGGAAGAAGTCAGCCGCCAGGCAGCAGTGTAGTTTGGTGTGCTCATTTTGTAGCTTGGTGGAGGCTTACTGTACTAGTTACTTCACAAATCTACCTGTGGATAACAACCTTGTTAGAAAACCAGAGATACCTGAAAAATGTTTTCATGTTTAGCAGTAGGCATTTTAGTAATATTATAGTAGCAGCGGATTGTAGGGTACAGTGTTACAGCATTCTCTTGTTCTACTCCAAAACACTCTAAATGGCAGCATGAGAAAATTCAACTCAGGTGAGAGGCAAATTAGCCAGTTAGCTAATGAGCTAAATAGTCAATAGTCACATTTACTGCAACCTGAGGAAGAAAATAACAAAGTCTGTTACTCGCGTACTATATCAATGTACAATTAGATACTTGCACTGTACCTGAATATGTTAAGTTTATGCTATTTTATAATTCAGTTTTTCTAGTTTTCAGTCAAATTTCCACCAAGTTCAGGTTTTATTTATGGTAAAAGGTGGGGTTAAGCTGGTAATCACAGGTAATGTTGGGATAGGCTTCGGGAAATGATCGTGCAATGTCCCCAAAAGGGACAAGGACAAACTAATAATATTTTTGTTTGTTTCTGTACATGTGAAACTGGAAGATGCAACAAGCAACATATTGATTAAAATAATCTAATGAGCCAGACTTCCTTCTACCTAAAGAGAACCTCCTGCAGCTAACAGTCACTCCACCCTCCACCATCTGTGATAATAGATCTGGTTTTCTGACTGTTGCTCTGGCTCCATGTGGCTGTGGGGGGGGGGTTGTATTAGGTATTAAGTTACATATTATCTTTTTTTTTGGTTGAAATTGTGAAAGTGAATGAGTCAGACACTGAAACTGATGATATTCCTCAAGGAAACCTTACTAGCTTTAGAAAATAGTCTTAGCTCACCATCTAGTGGTGAAGACCATGGTCTGTACAATGTGGCATCTATGTAGTTTTTTGTGACTACAAAAAAAGACACACCTTAAACATTCAATTGTCTTCATGTGTGGAAGAGGAATGCTTTCTTTCAACTAATGCTAATCATCTAATGCTGATGTGCCCTGATAAATTTAATTGGCATGATGTTTGATCCTGCAGCTATCAGGTGTAAATGTAAGGGGCTACTGTATATGCATGCTCAGTCAGACTGTGTTTGACAAAAGAAGCTCAATACTGATAATCATAAATCTAATATGAAACTAAAACTTCTTAATGTGTACTGACAGGTGATAAAAAGTATAAGATGCATTCTGACTTGACACACATTAACATAATCTGCTGTACAGTGTAGATCGCTAGAGGATACAAATGGTGAATTGTAATGAATTGGAAATCTTTGCAACATTGATCCCCAAGGAGAGAATTCACATAGTGAGAATTACCCTGTACCAAAAAAGGAAAAAGTTCAGTTTCACTAGTTGTCCAGGTAATCTTAGTAATAGGGAAGAACAACTGCGAGGTCAAAGCATGTATAGAAGAACAGGCAGCACATTCTCTGGAAACGTACTCAGTTCTGCATTTGCCAAAGCAGGTTAGGTCCTTAACACAACAAAAGGATGGACAGGAACAAGATACAAGTAATTTATAAAATGTCACAGACTCTTGACTTGGATAAAAAAAAACTCCCCCAAACAACCCTTTAATTGGTCTCTGCATCTGCTGTAGATAAAAAAGGCCACATTCTTGTGATGATGAAGATGAAAAAAGCAGTTTCTGTGATGTCTTCAGTGTGCTCATTGAAGGAGACTGGATCAAATATAACATTTCTGGACTCTTGACACAGAACTGATGCAACCATTTTGACAAATCACAACCTTACAACAAATGAGCACAATAAATCAATGTCTTTAAAATTTGACAGTCTACAAGAACAGGGCAAAAACATGGAGGGAGATATATTAGTTGATATTTCAGTGGTGCATATTTGTAATGAATTAGTGATTTATCAACCGATGTGGACAGAAATAACATGGAGTAAACCTGGGGCCTTTGGGGTCCCTGGGAAATCCAGTCTTGGCTACATTCATTGAAGAAACAGCCACTGAGAATCAATCAAAACTGGGAAGCCACCCGTGTGATGACGTCACGGGACTCTGACAAGCTGGTGGTGCCGGAAGAAAAGATGGCGGATCATGAGGAGCAGCTATCCGATGAGGAAAAGGTAATATGCCAATTTAATAGCAAGTTTTAAAGGTTCCCGGGCAACTTTAGCCCTCGAATTTTGGGTTGCACCCGATTCTGTGTTTCCGTATACCCCAGCGTGGATCCGTGTTATCAGATTTGGAGAAAAACCAGGCCTCAGCACAAACGCTGCTGCTTCTGCCCTTATTATTTTTAGCTCAACTTCCGCTCCTTTGCGAATCTCAAACGCAGGCTCCTTGTACGGTCCTGACTCAAAATAGGAACAGTGCACATATTATGAATTTACCCAAGCTTGCCCCCCGCGCCCTTTTCGTTCAGTAGACTTGTCGTTTTGCCGCGGTGTCCTGGTTGTTTGTGTTATGGAAGTTTTCATACACCAAAGATCGCTAGCTAGTTGCTTTACCATAGCCGCAGCCTGCTAACAGATAGCTAGACTTGCTAACACGCCCTTTTCACTGTTTCACAACTCTCTTCCTTCATTATACACAAACATATTGAGAGTAGTGGGTTGTCAAAAGGTTTTATACAGACGAAATTTTGTTTCGCCGTATTCCCGCAACCAAAGTCAATGCACAAGCTAACTTGCTAACTAACCTCATATAAGTAGCGTTTCACTATCAGTACAAATATGTTGGAACTGCAGTTCCAGTTGATCTACGACAAGATGGACTTGTAACATTGCCCTAAGCAATTTTGGTTTAGATACTTTATATGTGATTTTAACATTTAAAATTATATGTCTGCGGCACTAAAGGTGCCACACTAATATTTATTATTTAAAAAAAACGATGTAAGTTGTGCAAATGTGGTCTTCAAGTTGATACTGTGAGCGGGGTTTAGTCCCCAGTTCGTGTCAGGCATTACTAGCACTCTTGATTTTCTCATTTCCTTAAAAGAGCACACACACATACACATTTAATACCCCAAGGTTACATCCGCATGCGTCTGAGTTGCCTGTGCTAATCTTATTTGCACTTTAATTTAGTGCTCTGCTAAATGGGTTGGCTTAATTTGGCAACATTAGATTTATTGCCCATTGTTTGTTAAGCTTTGTATGCCCTTTGATCCATTGGAAATAGCTTTTGAGAGAGACGTATCAATGATATTTGTATGTAAGCTTTTGAGAGAGACGTATCAATGATAAAATTGTATTGGTTACAGATGTACAAATGTGAAGATATTTGCTTTTCTTTGCTTCAAGTTATTGTAAATTCAATACTTGGTTTTGTTGGTCAGAATTTATTAACAAACTTTAGATTTCTCTTTGAGCTCTGACGATTTGTGATTAGTGTTTAACATTGTGTTTTTATTTTATCAAATAAATGATCCAATGATTAAATATAAAAAATAGGCAGTAAATGAATACACAATAAAAACAAGCCATACTTTTCACTCATTCTGAACAGGTTCGCATGCAGGAGGTGTACTTATTCCTGTGTACCTGATAGTGTGTTGTGTATATCCTGAACTTGCAATCAAAATTCCCCCATGCTTATTAATGTCACAGCAAACCATTAAATGGTTGTGAACTGTGTAGTTGCCATTCTGTAGGTTATGTAATGCATCATTCACAATTAGAACAATGCCTTATTTGACTCAGTTTCACACATCTGCCTCAGTCAGAAGTTTTGGCAGCTCATTGACCCACAAGTGCGACTGCGTCATGCTCATCACACTCCAGCCTCAGCTCCTAGCTAAGTGTTTCATTACAAGTTTTGAAGGTGTGGGTGACTGTGGTCAGCTTCTGATTTTGCAATGTAAAAGGATGATGGGAGCTTGTTTCATCTTTTAACCATATTGGTTTCCACAGTTCTCATGTCACTTTCACTGCTTGACCAGATGGTTTGCTTTTGTTGAGCTGAAAGAAGAAAGAAAGGTGGACTGGTAGAGAACCAGTCACAGCCAGTGTTACACAGTCTATAGCTGGTGTCCGTGGTTTATTTCCTTGTCAAAATTTGATTAGGTGTGACCAAAGCATGTTCTGTTAAAATCACAGCATTTCCATGCACACCCCGCAGCTGCATTTCTTCAGAGCAGCCAGCCATCTGCTCCAGCCCCTCAGCATGTCTTGTATAGCTCAGAGAAAAACATCCTCAATCCCCAGGGACACATTTAGGACATATTTGACAGAGACGTTTTATTGTGTTCAACACAGTCTTGTTATCAAAGAGACAGTCTGTGTTAACTTCTTTAAGGCTACCCACCAAAACAGCGTCTCCCAACAACTACTACAGAAATAGATTAAAACAATCATCACAGTAATGTCAGATCATAGCAAGTTTGGATGCTCACAAAAGCAAGTTTGCAGACCTGTCAGTCAGTGCGGGAAACTACCACCAGCTGGGAGATTCTGGTTCTGCTGATCATTCTGTCCACATCACCAGCCTCTGGCAGGTCATCAAACTTCATTTAGAGTTTTCGCTTTATTTTGCAATTCATTACTGGTCAGTGAAAGGGTTATTCAAATTAACCAGTAACATTTGGAAACTGTTAACCACTGTCAGGCTTAAAACTCATTTTTTCCCGTTGCAGTTCGGTTGTGGCTGTCAGCATCACTACAAAAAAAAAAAGATTGCAAAGATCCCTGATGGGGAATTACTGTGTAAATGATTAAACGGCAAGAAGAGCCTCTTCTCTCTCTTTTTCAGTCATTCAGCCAGCTTCCCGATTACAGCAACGAAACCACGAGTATTACAGGAAACTGTCATTGTTACTGAGTGTGTTTGTTTTCAGTGCCTTTGTCTGTACTTCTGTGTCTAGGCAGGTACCAGAAACAGTTTATTTGTCAAGGTGTTTGTTACCTTAAGAAAATACCCGAAGTAATGATCTGGTAGCCTTTTAGATGTTGCATTATTGTTTAAAAAAAAAAAAAAAAAAAAGACTACCACTGGAGGAATTCCTGTTTCAGAGAGAAGCAGAGCTTTCTGTTTGCAAAAGTGGATAGGTGAAAATACACACTCATGAAAAGGCTTCTATGCAAGAGGGGAAGTAGGATGATGTATTTATGGTCTTAATTCTCCACAGGGTTTATTGATGTGGTGATGCTGAGTTGCTGTTAATGATATCCATTTATGTTGAGACTGACATGACCAGTTGTAATTTCACCATAGTGCTATCAGTGTTTTCACATGATGGTTGTTCCTCCTGTTTGGTGGGAAGAAGTAGCTTAGTGGATTGAGAAGACGGTTGATAGCATGCACTCTGCTTTCACAAGTATGTTGAGACCGTTAATACTATACAGCTACTATACAGTTAATACTATACTAGCACAGAGCTGGTAAATGGTACATCTGCTTTCTGCTTTCAGGAGCACATACGAGATTCTTAAGCAACACGCCGAGCTGAACAAATGTTACAGTTGCCCCTTATGCCATATTCCATAATGAGACATGTGACTTATCACTCTTGTTAGGTTTTGTGAAAGTGTAACCAACATTGACTGAGACATGTGTGTGGGTGTGGTATGTGGCCCTAACCTCTTTATTTGTGTACCTGGATAAAACTGGCATAAAGAAACCTCCAATAAAGTCTAATCATTTTCAACAAAACACTGAATTAATTAAAACATCTCTCATAACTGTAGAGCTACTGGAAACTTCTGACAGCCCTCTGTGAGAACCTAAGCTTGACTTGCAGACAATTGTCCTAGACTGTAGGGATAACATAGCTGAATGGTGAAACTAAGTGGATCTCATTAAGTGAAGAGTGCAAAGACAAAGGAGCACTGTCTGTACGTGCCTGCAGTAGTGTCAGAGCTCTGGAGATGAGGAAAGAGTTATACATGCTTCTTTGTCTTTACAATCGGGTAGAGTACTGCACCTTGACAGGTCCAAACTGGTGCCCCTTTTAAGGGTTAGAACAAGCAAGCTGGGGCATCCTTGTTTTATCTTGTGGCAGAGATGTTCCTTTAGAAGCTCAAGAAACTCTAGATCAATAATGGGCCCTCCTGGAGTTTTCTCTAAAATAATGTTGATTTGCAAAGACCAGTGGCTTTACACAGTGGTTCTAACGCAAGCTGGTGATATTCCATTTATTGCTGCCTGGGGTAAATGACACTACTGATACTGGCACAATGTAAGGATAAGTCACTGGAGTATAAGCTGAGGGTGACAAATGAGCACACAGAATGTAGACAAGGTAGCATTTTTCAGGTTCTGTATTTATGCGACACAGTGAGCGTCTGTCCAGTAACTGGAAAGGTTATAAGTTTGATCCAGCTTTGTGCTGAGTGGTTAGATGATTCATCAAGTTCTGTATAAAGTGTTTGCCAGAATTGTGAAGTGAGCAGTTTTAAGAGGTCTGTTTTTTTTCTTTGCCACTTTTGATCGGCATCCATCTACCAGGTTTTTTTGACATTTATTGGTGGTGGGGGTTTGATATTCAGCATACTGTTTACAGCTTGTGCTGCCCCAGATTGGCCAGATAACAAATATGTTTAAATAAAAATCACAGAATGTAAAGATATTGCCAATAATTGTAATCATAATATATATTTATTCATTGTTGACAGCAGGTAGAGTCAAAAGGCTCACGTTAGGGAGTTGAAATGGTAGGGGTCTTTAAGGTGTGTGATGTTGTCTTAGATGCTTCTTCAGGGTACAAACGTGGCCTCCATTCAGAGTGTACTGATCAAAATAAATTAAAACCTTAATTGTGCAATTAAACCTAAAAACGTTTGGTAGGGCTAACCCCATCTGGCTCCCACACAGTAGCTGGCAGAAAGTTCCTAAACTGTCCATCCTGACTGCAGCTTTTTGTCACTGCCCCCTGCTCCCATCCTCTGCTTTTGCCCACTGTCCATGCACACACAGATCTCTACAGATTGACATCTATAATGATGATGACACGTCATCTCGTGATTTTAAACAGATTGTCTGAGCAGGATGTTTGGATGGAAAATAAAGTTGATTAAGTTTGTACTGTGATGGATTATGAAGCAACATTTAAGCAGGTTTGAGGTCTCCATGAGTTAAAGCTAGTTCAGCTACTCTAATTTCTTTTCAGCCTGGAGGCTCCAGT